CTTTCAGGTGTCACAGAAGGTTTCTTCAATCTCGGATGCAAGCCTTCACTAATGATCAACATCTTGTCCTGGCTGAGACACCTGGCACTAGCTTCTACACGGGCATGAACCATCATTCTGTCAACACTCCTTGCCCCAAGACAACACCTCCGTTCAGCAGGAAGCAGTCTAAGAGACACGTTGCCCCTTCAGAACAGCTGCAAGATGGAAATGATAGGTTCTGGCCCTAGTATAAATTGCTAAATTATTATGGTGGTCATCTAACATGGCTGAAGCCCTTAAAACAATAGCTTATCTTCCCAGAGACCACTTCCTCCTTCTCCCCCAACCCAGTCCTGGATATAATTTCCTCTCACCTTTCCTGCCCTACAAGGGACACCCCAATCAGCTCCTCAGGTGTCATTAAACCTGCCCCTCAAACTCCACCCCTAGCCAAATTCCATGAAAGTCTCAGCTTTCTTTGTCTTAGGTCAGAGGATTCCCTCCACATCTTCCCTGGGATTCTTTTCCTGTCTTTAGAGTTAATAAAGGCTTCTTTTATCTTTCCTGTCTCTTTAGTACACTGCCAAAAAACCTAACACCCAGCACTCAGGAAGCTGAGGTGGGAAGATCTTTTGGAGTTTGAGATCAGCCTGGGCTACAAAGTGACCTCAATGCCAGCCTGAACTGCATAACAAGATTCCGTCTCAAACAAACAAACAAACAAACAACCAAAAACGTAATCCTAGTACTTGGGAGGCTGACGCCGGAGGACTGCAGCACATTTGAGGTTAGCCTGAGCGACACAGCAACACCCTGTCTCAAAATGACACAACAAAAAGCATCACACTGGACATTCACCTCTGGTTCAGAATCGCAAGCCAGTAGAAAAGGAGGTTCTCAACAGAGGCCGCTGAGAGTGCTGCAGCCGCACAGGGAGTGCACATGTCCCCTCTGGCTGAAGAGAGAACAGCTTCCAAAAGGTGATGGACAAGGGTATTCTCGTGACTGTAGGCTCATTCCCGCCCGCGAAGAGCTCCTCCAAACCAACCTGGGGCCTCCCCTCTCCAAGGACACTGTGGTGTGTGTGTGCATGTGTGTGTGAGACAAGGCCCAGCATTTCCCAGAGCGCTGTGTGCGTCCCAGAGGCCTCACCCGCTCCGATTCCTGCCTCCATCATTGGGGCTCTCCTCTTCCTTCTCTTTTTTCCCCTTAGGAAGGTACCAGTTATGGGTTTAGGCCCTACCTAAACCAGTATGGCTTTTCTTCTTTTCTTAGATTTATTTATTTGGTACAGGGGGCTGGAGAGATGGCTCAGTGGTCTAAAGCACCTATTTGGAACAAGCTTAGCAAAGCCCAGGGACAGCGGTTCAATCCCCCAGCACCAGCTGCGCCCCCTGGTGGGCTGAGCTGGCCACACACACACACACACACACACACACTAAATAAATGTTAAAAAAAATATTTGGTACAGGGTCTTGCCATGCAAGTCGGACTTGTCAGGTCCTTGTGCTTGCCAGGAAGGTAGGTGCTCAGAGCTATCTCCCCAGTCCTGGCTCTTCTTTTAACTTTTTTTTTAAATTATTTATTTGTGTGTGTGTGTGTGTATATGTGTGTGTGTGGCCAGCTCAGCCCACCAGGGGGCGGGGCTGGCTGGCATGTGGTGCTGGGGGATTGAACCGTGGTCCCTGTGTTTTGCTTAGCTTAGCTTGCTCTAAGTAGGTGCTTTGGACCACTGAGCCATCTCACCAGCCCCTCTTCTTTTAACTTAAATGGAGCCACACAGATCCTATTCCCAAGTGAAGTCAGAGCCAGAGGTTCCAGGTGGCTATGGCTTTGGGGGGGATCCTATCTAGCCCCAAACATACCCTATTGATAGGCTCTGGCCCTAGTATGAATTGTTCAGTCATCATGGTGGTCATCTGATATGGCTGAAGCCCTTAACACAAAAGCCCATCTTCCCAAGGCCACCTCCCCCTTCTCCATCTCAGTCCGGGGTACAGTTTCCTTTCACCCTTCACGCCTCCTCAGGGAAGGCCCCAGTCAGCTCCTCAGGTGTGTCTAAACATCCCTCTAAACCCCACCCCTGGTAAAAGGCCACAAGAGCCTCAGCCTCCCTTTGTTCCAAACCAGAGACTCCCTTATCTTCCCTACATTCTCTGTGTTCTCAAAGAAAATAAAGCCCCTTTCCCTTTTTTTCTCCTGCCTGTTTCTCTGCTGTGCCAGTTACCTGAAAAAACCTGTCACCTATGATATGATGTACCAATTCTACACCAAGTTATGTACCTTTGAAATGCCATATTATAACTGAGCAAGGTAGCATATGCCTATGATCCCAGAGTTCTGAGAGACTGAGGCAGGACGATCAACAAGTCGAAGCCCCGCAGTGACTTAGCAAGACCCTGTCTCAAAATAAAAAATAGAAAAGGGTTGCGGATCTAACTCAGCACTATGGCCCTGGCTTTAAACCCCGGCACCACAGAAAGAAAAGCCATACACACGCACCGAACAACATATACAAACTTGCTCGTGGCGGCACTGACATGATAGCCCACACTGCGCTGCCCAAGGACAGCTGTGCAAGGATTGTACGATGGGGCACTTTGGCCACAGAAGGGTGTGGCCATGTGAGACTCAAATTACTGTTTTCTTTCTGTTGTTCTTTTTGAGACAGGGTCTCTCTATGCAATTCACGCTGGTTTTGAGTTTACTTTGTAGCTCAGGCTGGTCTCAAACTCATGATGATCCTCCTGCCTCAGCCTTCTGTGTGCTGGATTTACAGATGTGTGCCACCACAGCTGGCCATAGTAAGATACTTTAAGAAGCCTGTAATACCTGCTGCTCAGGAAGCTGAGGTGTGAGGATAGTGAGCTGTGAGCCCAGTCTGTACAACTTAGTGAGAGGGTCTGAATAATAATAGCTGGGCATGGTGGTGCACACCTGTAATTCCAACACTTGGGAGGCTGAGGCAGGAGGACTGCCACAGGCTCAAGGCCGGTCTGGGCTACACAGTAAGTTCCAGGCCAGCCTCAACTAGTGAGCACGATTCTATCTCAAAAAACACAACAACTTGGAAGTCTGAGGCAGGAGGATCATTGTGAGTTTGAGACCAGCCTGGGCTACAAAATTGCTCAAAGCCAGCCTGAACTGCATAGCAAGACTCTGTCTCAAAAAGACAAAAACAAAAACATACAAACCAAAAAGTACTACTGATAGGGCTGTAGGAGCTGGATAGTGCTTTGCTGCGAAGTTACTGTGAGAGGCCACGTTCAATCCACAGCACCAGCTTCAGGGAGGTGTCATTAACATTTTAGCCTTGCCCTCATGGCGCACCTCTCTGAAACCTACCCTCTTTCTATTTTATTTCTGATATTCAAAGGAAGTTTCACTCTTTCTGTCAGCCGGCCGAGATGCCAAAAGGGGAGAAGGCCAAGGGCAAGAAGGTGGCCCCAGCTCCTGCTGTTGTGAAGAAGGAGGCCAAGAAGGTGGTAAATCCCCTGTTTGAGAAGAGGCCAAAGAATTTTGGCATTGGACAGGACATCCGGCCCATGAGAGACCTCACCCGCTTTGTCAAATGGCCCCGCTACATCCGGCTGCAGCGACAGCGGGCCGTCCTGTACAAACGGCTGAAGGTGCCCCCTGCGATTAACCAGTTCACCCAGGCCTTGGACCGCCCAACAGCTACCCAGCTGCTTAAGCTCGCCCACAAGTACAGACCAGAGACCAAGCAAGAGAAGAAGCAGAGGCTGTTGGCCTGGGCAGAGAAGAAAGCTGCTGGCAAAGGGGATGTCCCCACTAAGAGGCCACTGGTCCTCAGAGCAGGTGTCAACACTGTCACCACTCTGGTAGAGAACAAGAAGGCTCAGCTCGTGGTGATTGCACGTGACGTGGAGCCCATCGAGCTGGTCGTGTTCCTGCCTGCCCTGTGTCGCAAGATGGGGGTCCCTTATTGCATCATCAAGGGGGGGGCCAGGCTGGGGCGTCTGGTCCACAGGAAGACCTGTACCACTGTCGCCTTCATACAAGTCAACTTGGAGGACAAAGGTGCGCTGGCTAAGCTGGTGGAGGCCATCAGGATCAACTACAATGACAGATACGAGGAGATCCGCCGTCACTGGGGAGGCAATGTTCTGGGTCCAAAATCTGTGGCTCGTATTGCCAAGCTGGAAAAGCAAAGGCTAAAGAACTTGCCACTAAACTGGGCTAAGCGTACTCTTGAGTTTTCTATACATAAAAACAATAAATTGTCCTTAATCCAGTGTAAAAAAAAAAAGGAAGTTTCAGATAATAGTTCACTTCCTTTTAATTTAATCAGCATACATACCATCAAGAAGAGTTCAAGAGGCAATTGTATCTTTTTGTTTGCACCATCTCCAGTCTGAGAAAGAAAACCCGGCAAAGAAAAAGACGTTTTGGTGAAAGCAACTGCCAGGCTCCTCCCTGTGAGGCAAGTCCTACAAAAGGACAAACCTGGGCTGTGCGTGCTCTAATTTACGCTGGCATGGCTCGCGGCCAGGTGGCTAGCTGTGTCTGCGTCTGAGGAACAGTCTGCCTGCCTTTAACTGGCAGATGATCGTGGACACCTCGACGTCCTACCGTCCCCGGGCTTTCCCTGCTCTTCTAGATGGCTCTTTCCGGATCACCCACCTGCCGCACCCTGGTCAGTGCCGCGTCCCTCCGGGTGCTACCCTGGGCCTTTTCCTCTCCTCCAAGGGATTGCTGTCTTCTCTTCCCTGAATCCTCTGTCTGCAGGAAAAACATGCTACTTTTGCAGTGGTGAGCAAAATGAGTAAAACGGAAGGTGAACTTTTGCTTGGGTGTACGCTCCGTGTAGTCGCCCTGCCCAGCCGAGCCCAGTCTGCTCCAGCACAGCTAAGCCAGCCGAGCCAGCCGAGCCAGCCGAGCCAGCCGAGCCCAGCCGGAGCCGGTAGCGTTTAGCCCCGCCCCTTTCCCCACTCGGAGCGTGCGCGCCTAGACACACGTACAGCCAACCAATGAAGAGGAGCAGCTGTGAGTGGCACGCGCCTAGCCCAATCATGAGTAAACCTAAGGAGCCAGCCTGCACCTGGGCCAATAGCGGGGCGGGGCGGGGCTCCAGCGGGGGCGACAGGTCATCTGATCTGCCCGGCCCGGCGTCCGAGGCTGTGGAGGCTGAGCCTGTGATGGCGGCGACTGTGGCGGTTCGAATTCAGACCGGGGTGCAGCGGGCTATGGTTCCTTGTCGCATGCCATGGCCACTTCTACTGCTGGCGGCAGTGGCGGTGGCAGCCGCGGCGCCGGAGCAGCAGGTGCCGCTGGTGCTGTGGTCGAGTGACCGGTGAGCGGGCCGGGCGGGGTTGGGGCGGGCTGCGCGCCGCGCCGCGGGACTGGGAACCTCCCCGACCCGGGGGCTGCCCTCTGCGGGGGCTGCGAGACCCAGGGTGAGCTGTGTCCCTCGCTCAGGGGGCTCGCCCTTTTAAGGAGCTCGGCCCTCTGAGGAGACGGGAGTCCAGAGGGCTTCGAATCTCGAGTCATGCGCCCCCGCTTGACAGCACCTCTTCTGTCCCCTGCCAGGGACCTGTGGGCTCCTGTGGCCGATACGCACGAGGGCCACATCACCAGCGACATGCAGCTTTCTTCCTACTTAGACCCCGCCCTGGAGCTGGGCCCCCGGAATGTGCTGCTCTTTCTGCAGGACAAGGTGGGCTGCCCCAGCCTGTTGTGGGTCATCAGGAGGCAGGCAGACCCCTAACCCCACGTCTGCTCCCCAGGGGAAGCACAAGTGACCTTATCCCAACTGTAGGAAGGTGTGGCTATTAAGAAGCTTCAGTGGAATCCTGAGGAGACAGAGGCCAGATACCTCTTAAGTTCCAAGGGGTTTGTTTGTTTGTTTGTTTGTTTATTTATTTATTTGGCGGAACCGGGGATTGAACTCAGATCCTTGCGTTTGCCAGTCAAGCGCTTATCCTACTGAGCCATCTCCCCAGCCCCTCCAAGGGGTTTATATAGAATTTTTTTTCTGCTTTTTTTTTTTTTTTTTTGAGGCAGTGTCTTAATGTGTAGCCCAGGCTGACCTCACGCTCGAGGTGATCCTCCTGCCTCAGCCTTCTCAGTGCTGCTGTGAGAGGCATATGTGCTGCCACACCTGACTTCCTCTAGTGTGGTGGGGACAGCTTGCAGGTGAGATGCTAGGGAAGAGACACTGTTGCCCAAGGTCACACACCGGACTTCAACCACTGTAGAGAATAACTTGGAAATGATCCCTTATTTATCATTTCCTATGCAGCTGCGCATCTGATGCCATTAGCTGGGTCACGTGGAAGACAAGGCTTGTAGGCTGGAAAATTGGCTAGAGTCCCACAGTTTAGAGAGCACACATGGGGTTCAGCTTGGCTCTGTCAGGCCTTTCTCTGGTCTATGTCTGTAACCATCCACACTGTGTTCTGCCCTCCAGGCTTCTGTCCCCAAAGCAGGTGTGCAGCCCAGGACAGCTTCTTATTTTTTTTTCCATGGCGGCTTCTAGGGGTGGCATGGGGCTGTTGTTTGGGAGGCCATCAAGCCTCTGCTTGTCCACTCCTCATTAGTGGCTTGCCTGGCTCAGTCCTTGTTGCTGTGTTGGCAGGTAGTGGTGGTCATGCTGGCCCTAGTCTGGCTAGGAGGTGGTAAGATATATTATCAGAGCTAAGTGTGTTGGCCCACATCTGTCATTCCAGTATGCAGGAGGCTGAGACAGGAGGATTGCTGAGAGTTCAGGGCCAGCCTGAGCTACACAGCAAGACTATTATCTCAAAAAAAAAAAAAAAGAAAAAAAAGAAAAGTAATGAGACTGGAACTCAGTCCTAGTTCTACCACTTGTCAGTTTTTGGGGCCATGAAATGATCTTGTAAATGATCTTACTCAGAGGGTTGGGAGGCACACATGTTAGCCCATATACAACACCTATTTGGGGTCTGCTAGCATTTGGGCATTCTTTCTCTCATTTGTTCCTTGGCCAAAGATGGCATAGTGTGTATGTAGCAGAGACTGAGTGTTGGGGACACTGTGGTTAGCAGTGACCCAATCCCTTACCCTTGGGGAGCTGACACTCTTAGGAGCACAACCAGTAAATGCTGCATTAGTACAGCCTACAGTGTCACTGCAGTAGCTGGGGACACGATGTTGGAGGAGGGTAGTAAGGCAAGGTGTCGCTGAGGAGGTGGTATCTGGAGGGAGGGAGGGAGGGAGGGAGGGAGGGGGGGAGGGAGGGAGGGAGAGAAGGAGCCATTGGCTTGGGAGACAGGCACAGGCGTTAGAGTCCTGTGAGTTCCAGCAAGGGCCAGTGTGGCTACAGAGACAGGTGGCAGGGGGGTTCCAGATGAGCAGTATGGAATAGGGAGTGCCTTAGTCTCTTGATTAAAGAAAGCCCAGCTGGCACACCTGGGAGACTGAGGCAGGAGGATCACTGCAAGTTCAAGGCCAACCTGGACTACCAAGTGAGAGCCTGTATCAACAAAACAAAATAAAACCAAAAAACAAGAAAGTCAGTGAGCAAGTGAGCCAGCCCCCTGGGCACAACATAGGCACTGCATGGGATCAGAGTTCCTGGCCTGAGGGAAGCTGGGAAAGTGTGTGTGCTAAACAGTGAGATTAGGGAAGCAGCTTGGTGGGTCAGAAACCAGAGGAAGCTGGAGGCTGGGGTGGTGGCTGGAGTTACAGGACGCCTGGAGGTCATGGAGGGAAGGGGGTGGTGTTGTGGTTACCATGGGCCCCAGAGTTTGGCTGACCACTGGGCTTCTGCCACCGTGCTCCCAGTCTTTGTTTCCCTCCTGTCCCACCACACATGGTGACTTTGGGACCTGTCCCCTGTTGGAAAGGATCCTGTCTGCCTTGGACATTGCTGGGCCGTTGCTCCAACCCTACTTCTGACTGGAGGTGGCCTGTCCTCACTTCTGCCCTGCCCCCTCCTCGCTTCCCTCCTGTTCCTCTTTCTGCTGACTCCTGCTCCTGAGGTTACTGAGCCAGCCCTGTGACTGTCTTGTCCCTCTGGACTGAGGGTGTTGGGAACAGGGCGGGGGCTCCCACCTGGCCCCTGTGGCCTGCCCTCCTGCTGTACCAGCGCTACCTGGAACAGAGGTTGTGGGGCCTGAGGCAGCACTGGCCCCTGTCCTAGCCCTTGTCGTTGCCTAGCCACCTGAGCTGCTTCTCTACCTCTCCCTTAGCTTAGCATTGAGGACTTCACAGCCTATGGCGGCGTGTTTGGAAATAAGCAGGATAGCGCCTTTTCTAACCTGGAGGTGAGCATCTCCTTCCAGCCCAGGCCGTGGGTGGGTGGGCATTCTGTGCTCCCTCTCCCAGCATGCTAAAAATGATGTCCTTTGGGTCAGGTGTGATGGGTCCCCCTTTGAAATCCCAGCTTACGTGGAAGGGTTGCAAGCTCAAGCCCAGCCTGAGTGACTTAGCAAGCCTCTGTCTCAAAAAAGGCCAGGGGGTGCTGGGACTAAAGCTCAGTACAAAAGTCCTGGGTTCAGTCCCCTGTAGTGTGCGCATGTGCAGGTACACGCGCGTGCGCGCGTGCGCACACACACACACACGCTTCATGCAGGCTTTGAGCATTGAAAGGCCTGGGGTGTGAGTGTCAGGGGCCCCAGGGGAGTCTCCTTTATGACCACAGTGGGGATTGTGTGGCCCCCAACTCAGTCTCCTCCCCTCCCCTCTGCCCCAGAATGCCCTGGACCTGGCTCCCTCCTCACTGGTGCTGCCTGCAGTCGACTGGTATGCAGTCAGCACCCTGACCACCTACCTGCAGGAGAAGCTGGGTGCCAGCCCACTGCACGTGGACCTGGCCACCCTGCGTGAGCTGAAACTCAATGCCAGCCTCCCCGCTCTGCTGCTCATCCGCCTGCCCTACACAGCCAGGTGAGCCAGGTGTGGAGGTGACAGGGTGCTCTGTGAGCTTCCGCAGTGAGGCAGGGCTCCCCGGGTCACAGGACAGGCCTCCAGGTGGGTCTGAGGTAAGCAGACAAGCAGGGGGCTGCCTGGCACCAGGTGAGGGGCTGTGGGCTGAGGGAGGGCCCTGGGCCCTGAGCGACTCTCATGCTGTGTCCCGTCTGCAGCTCCAGTCTGATGGCGCCCAGGGAGGTCCTCACGGGCAACGGTGAGTGGGCCAGGCGGGGCATGCATCTGCACCCAACCCTGAGGCCCTTCTCCTCGCAGCGCCATAGCCCCGGGGCAGTGCCTGGGACCCAGGCTTTGCCCAGGTTCACAAGTCCCAGGACTTCAGCTATAAAAGACCAGAAACACCTGGTCAGAACAGTTAGGAGAAGAAGGCCAGGTGTGGTGGCACACTCCTGTCATCCCAGCATCCAGAGGCTGAGGCAGGAGGATTATGACTTCAAGGCCATCCTGGATGATCTAGCAAGACTGTGTCCCAAAAAATGAACAGAAAAAAGCCCCAAAAAAACAATTTGGAGGACTTGTCTTTGCTCTAAAGCATAGTGGTTGTTCCCACACCCTTAGGTTGGCCCGCTTGTCTGGGACTTAGAGGCTGAAGTCACAGCTGTGCTGGGGAGGCTGACTAAGGGAAAGGATGAAGCGGCTGTCCCTAGGCACACTTGGCAGCTGGGGGGACAAGTGTTCCTTTAAGCTGTCACCGGTGACTGGGTCCCCTGCTCTCTTGCCACACCTCAGATGAGGTGATTGGGCAGGTGCTGAGCACTCTCAAGTCTGAGGACATCGCCTATACTGCTGCGTTCACAGCTGTCCGCCCCTCCCGGGTATGTGTCCTTCAGGGTGGTGTGGAGGACCCTTGTGGGGTCCCCGGGCACAGTGTGCTGGGAAGGGCCTCCTGTGCCCTGTGGGCAGGCCCTGGGGTGCCAGTGGGGAGGGCAAGCTCTGGGTTGGGGTGTGCTCCCAGAACAGTTGGCAGAAGCTTCCTGGCTCTTCCCTCAGGTGACTCGAGATGTAGCGATGGTGGCTGGGGGGCTAGGTCGCCAGCTGCTCCAAAAACAGGCAGCATCACTTGTGATCCATCCACCTGTGAGTTATAATGACACTGCCCCAAGGATCCTGTTCTGGGCCCAGAATTTCTCTGTGGAGTACAGAGGCCATCAGCAAGACCTGACCCACCGCACTTTTGGATCACCGGAGCTCAACCTCACCGGCTCCTTCTGGAACGACTCCCTGGCTGAGTGAGGGCCAGGGTTGGGACTTCCTGCCACTTGGGGCAGGGGGCAAGACAGGGAGCCAGGGGGCAATAGGTGGTGTCTCAGGTGGGCTGTTGGAGGGGGACTGCTCATGCCCATGAGGCCTTGGTAGGCCCTGGGCTGTAGATAGTGCAGTCACCCATTCTGGGGCTCCTGGACCTACCCATTGTCCTGAGCCCAAAACCTCAGCAGGCAGCTCACTTGTGACCCCAAGAGGGAGCTGAAAAGATGGATGGTGGACTGAGGGGCCAGACATACGGGACCTAGCTGCTGGTTCCAGCTCAGTTCCCAGCTTGGTTATGTCCCCTTCTGTCTAGTGGGGACAGTCTTTAGTGGCTGTGGGGACCTGGTGCACTTTATTTTTAAAATTTATTTATGTGTGTGTGTGTGTGTGTGTGTGTGTGTGTGTGTGTGTGTGCGTGGCCAGCTCAGCCCACCAGGGGGCAGGGCTGGCTGGCATGTGGTGCTGGGGGATTGAACCGCGGTCCCTGTGCTTTGCTAAGCTTGTTCTAAGTAGGTGCTTTAGACCACGGAGCCATCTCACCAGCCCCCTGGTGCACTTTAGTAGGGTAGATCTGGGTGCTTGCTTCTCAAAGCCACTCTGCCCCCTGACACACACTTCTCCCTTGACCAGACTCTCACTGACCTACAACGGGCTCTTCGATGCCACAGTGACATTCAAGTGAGTTCTGGGGCAGTGGACTGCGGGTGGGCTCACATGACTTGTTTCTCCTGCTAACCCGCCACTCCCGCCACCTCCCAGGTTCATCCTGGCGAGCCGCTTCTACCCGGTGTCTGCCCGAGATTGGTTCACCATGGAGCGCCTTGAAATCCACAGCAATGGCTCCATCACCGCCTTCAATGCCTCCCAGGTCACAGGGCCCAGCGTCTACTCTTTCCGCTGCGAGTATGTGAGCAGCAACAGCCAAATGGGCAGCCTGCTGGTGCCCCACACGCAGCCCTCGCTGTGGCACATCACCCTTCAGGACTTCCAGGTGCGGCCAGGGTGGTGGCGGTCAGGGGAGGGAGTTCCTACAGGCTCAGTGCCCCCACCCCAGGCCTCTATGCACACGGGGCCACGTGTTCCACCTGTTCCCTCCTGACCTGAGTCCTCCCGTCCCCCAGATCCAGGCATTCAATGTGACAGGAGAGCAGTTTTCCTATGCCAGTGACTGCGCGGGTTTCTTCACCCCGGGCATCTGGATGGGGCTGCTCACATCCCTCTTCATGCTCTTCATCTTCACGTATGGGCTCCACATGATCCTCAGCCTCAAGACCATGGATCGCTTTGATGACCACAAGGGGCCCACCATTGCTTTGACCCAGATCGTGTGACCCGTGCCAGCCGGGGGATGAGGGGCTGGTGGTGTGTCCCACAGTGGGCCAATGGGAGGGCTTCCCCTCTTTCTCCCACAGCATGAACACCCTTCCCAGGCTGTGCTGCTCCCTCTTTAGTCACTGTGGGCTTCCTGGGGTTGTCCCCGTTCCTGCCGACAAGGTGTACATATTCTTCATAGGCAGTAGACCAATCCCTAGGCTCGGTCATCATCACAGGAGAGAATATCTGGGGTCCCTTTTCTGTTATTTATTCTCATCTCTACCATCATCCCTTGCTGTTCATAGTGCTTTTGTGTGCAGATGATCCAACCCCAGACTGTGGGGCTCCTGGAGTCCCCTGAGTGTGTTTGGGGTGTGGAAGTCCTAGCCCCACTCAGCTGCTGTTCAGTTATGTGCTAAGGATACGCAGCATTTGGGTTTGTTTCCGTGGCCTCAGAGGGAAGGGACCGACTTCCATGACAGGTGGCTTTCTGGCATGTTCTTCCCACTAGCGCCTGGTAGGAGTCTGGGGCGCTGTTGTTTCCTTCCAAATAAAATAAAACAAGGGTCACCATGTGTTGGGCCTCTTGTCACTCACTTCTGTTTGGGGCATCAGGTGTGTGAACGCTTCGCTGAAGGACACGCTTGGCTTGGCAATGCGCGAACACACCTAGATATAGCTGAGCCAGGCCAGTTGCCCATGGGTGCAAGGCTGGGGGACGTCTTTAGTGCGCTGCGCCCCTAACCGGTGAGGGTACGAAGAGGCTGCTGGGGCCAAGTCCGATGTGCCTCACCAGGCGCTAGTAGCAATAGCAGCTCTCACGTCATTGGGGGGGTCCACCCTGGTTGCTGCAGCAGCGCGCGCCGGGTCTAGAGAACGCGCTGAGGCTCCCAAGGGGCGGGGCGGGTGGGGCGGGGCGCGGCACGCAGCTCCCGCGCAAGGATCCCTGTAGCGTCGCAGCACCCGCGGCTGGCCCGCCCCACCATGCCTCTCCCTGGACCCTAGTCTACCGAGTCCTGTCTGAGGCGTCGCGCTTGCTCTGGGGTCCGGGCATCTGCAGCACTCCTGGAAGGTGAGCCGCAGAGGCTGCATCGCTGGCCAGGCGCGGCAGGGCGCGTGGAGGGTGTGGGACTCTTTGACGCAGCGGAGGGGTTTCACAGAGCCAAAGAGCCGCCATCTTTGGTCCAGTGCGGCGGTGGTGGTGGTGCTGGCGGCGGCGGCGGCGGCGGCAGCAGCTGCTGCTGTGGTGAAGGAGGAGGAGGAGCTGAGCGGTGCTGGCACCGAGGCCTGACCATGGACGAGGAATACGATGTGATCGTGCTGGGGACCGGTCTCACCGTAAGTGTGGCCCGGGTGCCCGTGGTCCTGCACCATGCACCCTGTAACCTCAGTGATGATGCAGCCCTGGCCGCTGGCCCATCCTCCCGTTATTGCCATCCTCCGCTTGGGCCCCTGAAAAGCCAGCGCCCTAACACGTCCCCTCTTCCCTGCAGTGTCTGCTGTCCTCCACCACTGTGCCCTGCCTTAGAAGGAGTCCCCTCCTCCCTGCACCCTCCCTGCCCAAGTCCCGATCCCAGCCGCAGCCCCTGCCCCAGCCCCAGCCCCCTCCAATCCTCCCTGCCTCGACCTGTCACATTGGAAAACTCGCCCCAACTCGATAAGGTGCCCCCTGCTCCCCGCCCACTAGGCCACCCCCCATTGCCTGCACCTATCGCCCGCCCATCATCCACTCCCATCTTGTAGGAAGCTCAGTAGGGATGAAGTCAGAGGCCCTGGGGTCTAGGGGCTTTGCCAAGCTGGACCCACAGCCTGCCTCCCTGTCTTTCGGAGATTGGGGACCCAGGGAATGTTCCAGAAGCAGCAGGAATAGTGGGGGCAGTGGCCACATTCCTGCTATCCCACCCTGGTTTCCCATGGAGACCTGAGGCTCAGTACTGCCTGCAGCCTTTGTCCTTGGGCCGTTTACAGAGACTGGGGAGGGTGTTTTATTCTTCCCCTTCCCCTTCCTCAAAGCCATTTCCCACAAGGCTTACTTCCCTCCACCCAAGCCAGACACCCACACCCCAGACACTCTGCCTTCAGGGATGTGGCTCCTTGGAAGAAAGAGCAGCCCAGGGAGGCTTGCAATTTCTGGAGTTGTGTTCAGGTGCATGTCCCTGTTGGGCACCCTTTCAGGCTGACCTGGGTTGTGAGTGGCTCATTGTATCTTACCTGCATTCTCGTGCACTGTGCATATGCAGAGATGACTTTCTTGGCATGTTGATGCCCTGAGACTGTCCATGTGTCTCTTGGCCACTGACCTCCTAAAGCTTCCCTTATTTTTCTCCTTGGACATCTATTAGCTGACCAAGGTTAGACCCGAAACTGTGGCCAAATGAAGCTTTCACCCCCAATTGTCCCTGCAGCCAGCTGGGAGTGGAAGGAGCTGTCCATTGTGGCAGCTATGGGGTGGAGAGCAGATCAGGACCTAGGGAGAACTCTGGCAGGTGGAAGCCCAGCAGCCCACTCGTCCCCTCCCCCAGGAATGCATCCTGTCAGGCATCATGTCCGTGAACGGGAAGAAAGTGCTGCACATGGACCGGAACCCATACTACGGGGGCGAGAGCTCATCCATCACACCCCTGGAGGAGGTGAGGCTCCCTTGACCCCTGCACAGGGGCATGCCTAGGTTTTCGGAGTGGGGGTAGAGTGGGAATCTGTGAGATTTTTCTCTTTCTCCTTGATTGCAGCTATACAAGCGCTTTCAGTTGCCAGAGGGTCCCCCTGAATCAATGGGCCGGGGCCGAGACTGGAATGTTGACCTGATCCCCAAATTCCTCATGGCCAATGGTGAGGGAGATAAAGGAGCTACTGTGGAGGGTGGGTGACACAGGGCTGGGCTTCAGGGCAGGGACCCTGCTGACGTTGCCATCCCTACAGGGCAACTGGTGAAGATGCTACTGTATACAGAAGTGACCCGCTACCTGGATTTCAAGGTGGTGGAAGGCAGCTTTGTCTACAAGGGGGGCAAGATCTACAAGGTGCCCTCCACAGAGACTGAGGCCTTGGCTTCAAGTGAGTGTGGCAGTGGGGAAGCAGCTGTTCGTAGCAGGGGCCCCCTTTGCTCAGTTCTCTTCCTCAGACACTACCGGAGGCCCACTGCTGGTGTCTCCTACTGTCCTTTAGAGTAGCTTGCCAGCACAGAAGCACTCTTGTGGAGGGGCTGTGGAGGGGAACTGGAGTTTTACAGATTTCAACTTTTGCCAAGGGCTCCCCTTGATGCCAGAACAGTCCCAGGTGGCAGGGTTGGGAGGGCCCTGCCCTGCCCTTGCCCTTCTTCATACAGGCGAGAAAGATGGAGCTGAGAAGGGGAAAGGGGTTGATCCCAGGTTGTGGGCTAGCTCAGCCATTATAGTGGGTAGGGTACGCGTGTGCTCCCACATGCACAGGGTCTCCTCACCCTCCCCAGATCTCATGGGCATGTTTGAGAAACGCCGCTTCCGAAAGTTCCTAGTGTTTGTGGCAAACTTTGACGAGAATGACCCCAAGACCTTTGAGGGCGTGGATCCCCAGACTACCAGCATGCGTGATGTCTACCGGAAGTTTGACCTGGGCCAAGATGTGATCGACTTCACTGGCCATGCCCTGGCTCTCTACCGCACTGATGAGTGAGGGGAAGCTGGTGTGATTGGCGCCCCTTGCCTTCCTGTACCTGTCTTCCTCTTGCCTGCTGCCCCCTCTGCCTATTCTGCATGTCTCTTGTACCAGATTCACCTGTGGCTTGTGTGTCCCTTCCTGCATCCTACGCTTGACCTGTCTTACCAGCGAGGCACCTGGGTGGGGGTGAGCAAGGTGCTTCTGTTGAGCCTTCCTTCCCTGCTCTCCTCAGCTACCTAGACCAGCCCTGTCTTGAGACCATCAACCGCATCAAGTTGTATAGCGAGTCTTTGGCCCGGTATGGCAAGAGCCCGTATCTATACCCACTCTATGGCCTGGGTGAGCTGCCCCAGGGCTTTGCAAGGTGAGGATGCAGTTCTGTTCAGATGGTGTCGCTGAGGCTGAGGGTGCAAAAGGCTACTAGAGCCTTTCTGGGTATTGCAGGCTGTCTTGGGTGATGGTGGTACAGCCCTACTACACTGAAGCCTGGGCTCAGGAACGTGGACTGCTCATCTCCCAGGAGCATGGGGCTGGGCAGGACCAGGAACCTCAAGCAGGGCTTAGCTGGGCGTTAGCCCTTCCCTCCGGTCTTGAGTGCTAGCCTCTGGGGCCATGCCCATCTGGAGCTTCCCCCTCATTATGAGCCTTGTGCCAGCCCTTTGTAGACTTCTTGGGGGATCTATGGAAGAGGGAGAGTACTCAGATGGGGTCTAGCTTCTTGCCATGACAGCAGGAATGAATGGCAGTTCTGCTGAATTTGTCCACCGAGACCTCCGCGGTGTGGAAGGGAGGGTGTGGTGGAATTGCCCCCGCTCATTCTCTGGGAGGAGGACATGACCGTTCCTATCCCTGCTGCAGACTGAGTGCCATCTATGGAGGAACCTACATGCTGAACAAACCCGTGGACGACATAATCATGGAGAATGGCAAGGTGGTGGGTGTGAAGTCCGAGGGAGAGGTGAGCCTTCCTTGAAGCAGGTCACTCCCTAGGGGCTCTGTGTCCTCAGGGGCCATGCACTGTGTCTGTTGTCCAGAAAATTACCAGACCATGGTGTCTCAGCTGCAGAGCCCCCCAGCCCTGTGTGCTAAGCTCATCACTCTGAGCTGAAGCACGGGGTGACAGTGACAGAAGAGAATCCTGCTTGACGTGAGCCACCTGTCATACCTGGGGTATAGGAGGTGACTGCTGGTATAAGGGGTGACCCAGCAGGAGCACGGCTTTGTGGTGCCTTCACAGGTGGCCCGCTGCAAGCAGCTGATCTGTGACCCCAGCTACATCCCTGACCGTGTGCGGAAGGCTGGCCAGGTCATCCGCATCATCTGTATCCTCAGTCACCCCATCAAGAACACCAACGATGCCAACTCCTGCCAAATCATTATACCCCAGAACCAGGTCAATAGGAAGTCAGGTAGGGAGCCCACAGCCCACCGTCCCTGTGCCTTCTCTCCGGGCTGCTGTGCCTGTTCTCCCCAGCCTTGGGGCTTCCTGCATGATCCCATCATGGAGCAAAGGGGATGCTTGTGTGGTCCCAGCAAATGGGCAGATGGCTCGGACTCTCACCTGCTGTGATGGGATACTACGACAGTCACCTTCCTGTGGCTGGGACCCAACCCCCGACACCACAACACAAGGGCAGGTTTCATTTGGGTCCCTCTTGTTTTGTTTTGTTTTGTTTTGTTTTTTTGCAGAACTGGGGATTGAACTCAGGCCGTTGTGCTTGCCAGGGAAGCACTTATTCCACTGAGCCATCTCCCTGCCCTTCCCTCTTGTTCCAGGGTGGGAAAAGCACGGTAGAAGGGTCGGTCAGGGAGGGCTGAGCACCTCATGGTGGCCAGGAAGGGGAGGAGGTGGAGGAAGGGGCTGGGCTCTCCCAGACACAGGTGAGCCTTCAAAGCCCTGTGCGAGGCCCCGCCTCCCAGGGAGCCCTTTTGGGCTCCATGCTCACCCGTGGCCAATCTGCTGAAGAGAGCGGTGCCCTCTTCCTGGCCCACCTCTGGCCACTGTTACTCTGGAGATGCCAGATACTTTACACTCTATCCAGCTGGGCCGAGCTGGACATGATGGTGCACACCTGTTATCCCAGCACTCGGGAGGCTGAGGCTGGAGGCAGAGGTAGGAGGATCATTGTGAGTTCAAGGCCAGCATAGGCTACAAAGTGAGCTCGAGGCCAGCCTGACCTGCGTAGTGAGACCCTTTCACCAAAAGACAAAAATACCTCTCTGCTCTATCAGGTGGCTTTGCACAGTGAAGTTACAAGATATTCATGGCTGGGGAGGGGGTGCCCCTGGCCTGCAGTAACAGAGCACTTGTCCTGAGCAGATATCTACGTGTGCATGATCTCTTATGCACACAATGTGGCCGCACAAGGCAAGTATGTTGCCATCGCCAGCACCACAGTGGAGACGGCGGACCCAGAGAAGGAAGTTGAACCTGCTCTTGAGCTGCTGGAGCCCATTGACCAGAAGTGAGGGACTGGGCTGCTCAAGGGGCGGGGCGGGACCTAGAGACGGAGGCTGGGCCGGGGATGTAGCTCAGTGGCACAAGTGCCTGCCTGGCAAGCACAAGGTCCCGAGTTCGATTCCCAGTACTGCAGGGGGGGAAAAAAGCCCGAGCTGGAGGCTACATCTCTGCCAGGGTCTGACACAAGTAACCCCACCTGCCCTCAGGTTCGTGGCGATCAGCGACTTGTATGAGCCCACCGATGATGGTTCTGAGAGCCAGGTAAGTAGCCACCAGCCCAGACCCCAGGTGCCTTCCAGGCCCTTCTCCAGTCACCTTGGCCCTTGGCCTGCTCTTTACAGGTGTTCTGCTCCTGTTCCTATGATGCCACCACACACTTTGAGACGACCTGTAACGACATCAAAGACATCTACAAACGCATGGCTGGCTCGGCCTTTGATTTTGAGAACATGAAGCGCAAACAGAACGATGTCTTTGGAGAAGCTGACCAGTGATTGCTGGCTCCTGCCCCAGCCCCTGCTGCCCTCAATCCTGTGTCTATTCTCCTCCAGGGCTGGGGAGATGTATGGCTGGGCACCCCTGTTCCCAGCATCTTCTGCTTCCCCCACATTCCTATCACCCACCTCACTGATTCACTGACCAAATCCTTAACCTTAGCGATGGTTTGGGAGATGGGGGTTGGATAACATGCTCATTCTCGGCCTTTCCTTGTCCTAGGAAAAGAGGACTCCTCCCTGTGTCTCCCCCACCTGTAACTCTTCCGCTGTGTTTGGGAAGGATGCGGAGGAGAGCTGACTTCTGCCCCCATCGCTCTTACCCCGCTGTAGTGGCCTTTGGAGATGCCCCTGCCTCCCCCAGCAGCTCTCCTGCGTGTTGGAGAGAAGGGGCCCTCCCAGCACAAATTGCATTCCTCCCCTGTAATTTATTCTAATTTATTAACCAACTCCCACCCCAAGTCAGCCTCCAGCCAGGAGGGAAGGGTGGAGGGGAGGGAAGAAGGCATAGGCGTGGCTCTGTTGGAGGTTGATCTCCCTGTTTTTATTCTTTGTCTTTGTGTTTGTGTTCTCTGATACTTGCTGAGAAGAGCTGTGTGCAAAGCAAAAGGAGGTGGGAAAGTGGACCCAAGACCCATGTGCCCCACCCCATACCTTCCCTTTAGTGGTGGGAAACCCTTACCTTGCAAAGTGAATGTGTCCCTTTCCCCAACCTCTAGTATATTTCTCAGAAAACAAGATCTCCCAATAAACTGTGTTGAAACCTGAGCCAGGATTTTAGATTTCCTTTCTGTAAAGCTAGGTGCTCAGCAGGGACTTGGCCCTCTGGTTTGGGGCGCTGGCTGAGCACCTGGCACTGCACCTGTGTCCTTGGGGATCCAAGGAAGAGAAGTGGGGAGACCAGGTAGGCCTCGGTGGGGGAAAGGAGGCGGAAGGCACAGCGTGGGGAAGCCAAGGGACCTGATTCTAGCCTACATAGCCTGGCAGGGTTCCCTGGGGGAACCAGACCCTCCCCCCAGTCCAGCACCAAAGGAAACCTGGAACTTGCTTGAACCAGATCAACACGGAAGCCGGGGAGGGGGGGTGCTTTGGATTTCCAGGAGGCCAAGGGGGTTGGGGGGCGCTGCAGGCGCAGTTGTGAGCTAAGGGCGTTAAGGTCGACACAGCGCAGGAGGCCAGTGATCCAGCTTCCGAGTCCTCGACCAGAAAGCAAAACGGCCCGGCCGCGCCAGCCTTCCCGCGGGCGTCGACCTGGGTCTGGGAGCCGGCGGCCGCACGGCGGGCGGAGCGGGGCTCACGTCACGCACCGAGGGGGCGGGGCGGCCGCGGTGACGTAGTAGGAAGGCGCAGGGCGGGAGTACGTCTGGACGCTGACCGCACAGCGGCCGTCTGGACTCAATTTCGCTGCTGTCGCTGTAGGCGCCACCGCCGCTGCCACCGCCACCGCCACCGCCACCGCCACCGCCACCGCCATGGCTCAGTACAAGGGCGCCGCGAGCGAGGCCGGCCGCGCCATGCACCTGATGAAGAAACGGGAGAAGCAGCGCGAGCAGATGGAGCAAATGAAGCAGCGGATCGCGGAGGTCGGGCGAGGCGGCCCCGAGCATGCGCGCCGCGCGGGCCTCTGGTGCTCCCTGGCTTCGGGCTGGGAATGCCTAGAGCGGGAGGCTGCACCCTGGCAGTCGGGAGACGGTCTTTTCTGTGAAATGGGTCTACGGGCGGGCTGGGTCGGAGGCCAGACCCCTGCGGGATGGAGCCTGTGGTCGACGTTCTCCTGGTGCTACCCGCGCCCCTGTCCAGCGCCAGGTGCCTCGCGGGCGGGCTCCGAGAGACTGCTTCCCTGTACCTTCTGCCCCGTGAGACCCGCGATGCTGGTGGTCTCAGAGCTCCTGTGAACGACCGGCAGTGGCGCGGAGCTGGGGGACCCCACGACTCTCGGAGACCCAGGGCTCTTAGCTAAGAGGGGAAACTGCCATGCAGGTAGCCTTTCGGCACAGGCGCACCCTCAGCCACAGCCCGTCTCAGCGGGGGCTTGCTGCAAGCTGAAGATGGATTTCCATTTAAAAAAATTTTTTTAGTTGTTTTTTTTTTTTTTTTTGCGGAACCAGGGATTGAACGCAGGCTTTTGTGCTTGCCAGGGAAGCGCTTATTCTAGTGAGCCATCTCCCCAGCCCCATTAGTGTTTTTGTTTTTTGTTTTTTGTTTTAATTTTATTTATTCATTTACTTATTTATTTTGTGTGTGTGTGGCCAGCTTAGCCCACCAGGGGGCGGGGCTGGCTGGCATGTGGTGCTGGGGGATTGAACCGCGGTCCCTGTGCTTTGCTTGGCTTAGCTTGTTCTAAGTAGGTGCTTTAGACCACTGAGCCATTGCACCAGCCCCCCCATTAGTGTTTTGAGACAGTTCACTATATAGTTTGGGCTCACCTTGAACTCATTTTGTGATTTGGGTTGGGTTTGAACCGTGGTGATCTTGCCTCAGCCTTGGAGGGCTGGGATGGTGTGTGTGCACCACTACACCTGGCCTGCAGGTGAATTTCTGTGCTGGCCACTTCCTTTGGAGACCTTGGCTAGAAGGGACCTTCATGGTACCATAGATGGAATTGCACTGGAGGAAGAGACTTTTTGGGCGGGTGCAGGCAATATCTGGGCTCTGGGGAGAGCCTGGGCCTTTCACCCACCCTGTTCTAATTTGTCCTTTCATGACAGTTGTGGCTTGGGGCTCAGGAGGGTCAGCTTAGATGCCAGCAGTCTGGCAACCAAGGAAGGGGCTCATAGCTTCTTCCAAGATCATACTGTAGCATGTCTCAGGGCAGACCTAGGACTGAACTCAGTCCCCCAACAGGAGCAGTTACCTACGGCTTCCAGGAGGATGGCAGTAGCCCTCACAGCCAGGCTTCCTCTTGCAGGAGAACATCATGAAATCCAACATCGATAAGAAGTTCTCTGCACACTATGATGCCGTGGAGGCAGAGCTCAAGTCTAGCACTGTGGGTGAGCAGGGCACATGGGCCACCCTCTCCCGGGCACAGGGCTGCCCCTTTGTTGGCTGTGGGTGACCAGTCCTTCCTCGTAGGCCTCGTGACGCTGAATGACATGAAGGCCAAGCAGGAGGCACTGGTGAAGGAGCGGGAGAAGCAGCTGGCGAAGAAGGAGCAGTCCAAGGAGCTGCAGCTGTGGGTCCCCTTGTGCTCCCTTCTGTCCCCTCACAGCTCATACGTGTGTGCTCTGGGGGCAAGTCAGGCTGTTCTTGTTCAGGGAACGGGGCTCCAGCTGTTCTGGGGACAAGGGCAGCGTGTAGTGTGGGCCTCAAAGTGGTCCTCTCAGGTTTCTACTTCAGCTTCCTGTTTCCTGGCTCTTGTGCAAGTGGCCTGTGCTTTCAGGCCCTCTCCTTTCTTTGGTGCCCAAGTAGCCTACATTTTCTCTGTCTTCTCCGTGTCACCACCCTGTGTCTCTCTCTGCCTTCTGTGTAGTAACCAGGGCCCTGTCCTGGACCTCCTGGTGACCCAGGGCAGTTGGGCCCCTCCAGCCTGCACTTGTAGTTCCCACACTGAGCATGTGGTAGCTCTGGGTCAGGGGCAAGGGACATGACGGCCAGCTGTGCCTTGGTAGGAAGCTGGAGAAGCTGCGGGAAAAGGAACGCAAGAAAGAGGCCAAGCGGAAGATCTCAAGCCTGTCCTTCACGCTGGAGGAGGAGGAGGATGGGGGAGAGGAGGAGGAAGAAGTTGCCATGGATGAGGAAGAGCTGGAAAGGGAAGGTGAGCCAGAGCAGCCAGAGAGGGAAGCCACCAGCACCTGGGTCACTGTCGAGGCCAGTGGCGAAAGCTCAGCCCAAGTCATCACTGCCCTGTGTGGCAGCCGTGGGCTGTGGGTGGACACTAGGCACTGAATCACTGATTTGGTTTCATCTCTGTCACCAGTTCCATAGTCACAGAACTCAGTGGCCATCCACTGAGTGAGCATCAGCTACCAGGGACAACTTAGGAAGGCTGGGCAGCAAAGCCAGAGGAGCCCGGCGTGCCCAGGGACTGCACACCCATACCAGGCCCGACAGACTGTGGAGGGGCCTGTCCCTCTCCTGGGTGAGGCCCATGTGGGTCAGGGGACCGACATGGGGTCAGGGAAGGTGTTCCATGGGGGGGCATGGTAGCAGGACTGGACTGATCTCTCTGTTTTTGGAGACAGTCTCACTGTGTGGTCCAGGCTGACCTTGAGCTCACAGTGTAGCTCGGGCTGTCCTCAAAACTACTGGTGATCCCCCTGCCTCAGCCTTCTGAGGATGACAGGTGTGCATTGCCACACTAGCTGGGCTGCTTTCTTTTCACTTTTTCCTGCTTTTTTTGGTGGTAGAAGTCATTGAACTCAGGACCCTGCGCTTGCCAGGCAGGCGCTTATTCTACTGCGCTATCCCTCAGTGTATCACGATCTATCACTCCTGGAGAGCCGGACGTATACAGGACACATCCTGATTCTCATTTCACACCTTCTCTTTCTTCCCTCATCTCTTGGTCCTTTTCTCCTTTGAGAAAGGCCTGTGATTTCTCTGCTTCCTGTTACCTAGCTTTACTTTTTTTTTTTGGCAGAACTGGGGCTTGAACTCAGGCCCTTGTGCTTGCCAAGGAAGCGCTTATTCTACTAAGAATTACCTACCTTAGTGTGTTTTACATTTTATATATTGGGGTTTTCGTAGAAGAGACAGGAACTGTGTAATATTGAAACTTTGTCTGGTGTATTTTGCTTGACATCATAGTCTCAGGGCCCATCCATTTTCCTACAGATGATCCAAGTTTATCTTTGTTTGTGGCAGAGTGGTGCTACATTGTGTATAAGGCCTGCAATGTTCTAGAAAAAAAGTTTTTTTGTTTTGTTTTTTTGAGACAGGCCTGCTATGTAGTCCAGGTTGCCCCTGAACTCACTATGTAGCTCAGGCTGCCCTTGAACTCAGCAGTCCTCCTGCCTTGCCCTCCCAAGTACCAGAATGACAGGTGTGCACGCACTCCTGGCCCTGCTGACTTGTTTTTATTTTTTTATACTGGGGATTGAAGCCAGAACTTTGATACTTCTTTTAGAAACTAATATCCTGGTGGACCCCTGGGTGCCCAGGAGTGGCTGGGCTGTTGAGGAGGAACCTGCCAGATTTTTTGGTTTCTTTTGTTATGCTTTTATTTGGTATGGGGTCTTGCTATGCAGCTGAGACTTGTAGTGCTCCTCCTGTTTCAGCCTCCACAGCACTGGGACCATAGGCGTGCACCACCAGGCCTGATTTTGGTGGCTGCATGGTGTTCCCAGGGTTCTGGAGCCAGCACGGACCGAGGTATGGGGGATTGAACCTGGGTTCTTGCGCTTGCCAGACAGGCACTTAGATCACTGAGCTATCTCCCCATCCCGTTTTGCTTTTGAGACAGGATCTCACTATGCAGTGCAGACTGGCCGTGAACTGACTGCGTAGCCCGGGCTGGCCTCCTGTGTGCACAGTGTGGAGCATAGACAGGCGACCTTTTCATGATGCACTGTGCCTAACCTGACACCCAAAGTGTGACCGTGCCACTTGCGGAGCTTCAGGGACCGCGTGGCAGAGCTACCGTTCTGGGCTGTACAGGCCTGGGGTGCAGGGTCGTCTCCCCTCTGGGGCTCCATTTAGGAGGCCCAGGAGCGGTGCCGTCTGTTTCTCTGTCATGTTTTTCTTTAAGATTGGCAGTGCTCAGGGCAGGCTTGAGGGACGCTGGAGGTCTGAGAGACCCTGATGGAGTCCAGACGGTTACAAACCTT